GGGGGGGGGAACTTCCCCACCCCCCCCCCCCCCCCCCTTCCCCAAAATGGGGGCAGAGTTGGACCCGGAGGGGGGGAGGGGCGGTGGCGATTAAGAAATAAATATTAATAATTAATTAGTAATTAATTAATTGCTGCCCGGCCCCGGGGGTGGGGGGAGGGTCCTGTCGCCTTTTGGGGGAGGGTCCAGCCCCCCCTCAAAGGGGGAGGGGCACCCCCGGGGGTGGGGGAGGGGAGGGGAGGCCCTGGGGGGGGGAGGGGGGGATTTGGGTTGTGAAAATCGAAGGGTTTGACCCAAAAGTTAAAAAAAATTTTTGAGCCTTGAGGGTGCTAAAACCCCGAAAAATTCAATTTGTTGCCCCCAAAAAATGGAAATTTCTGCCCCCAAAAACGAGGATTTGCCCCCAAAATCGAAGGGTTTTGCCCTAAAATGGAGAATTTTGGAGCCCTGAGGAGGTGAAACCCCAAAACTGAGATTTTTCTGCCCCAAAAGCGACAATTGTTACTTGAGATTTTGGAATTTCCACCCCGTAAATGACGACTTCTGTCCCCAAAATAAAATATTTCACCCCACGGGGAGGGATTCAGACCCCAGAAATTGGAATTTTTACCCCTTGAAGGAGCATTTCCACCCCTAAACCGCAATTTCTGCCCCAGAAAATGAAGATTTCCACCCCAGAAATGAGAATTTTTAATCCTGAGGGAGATTCTGTGCCCCTCAGGGAGGGAATTGCACCCCAGAAATTCAAATTTCCACCCCTTTAATTCAAATTTCTACCCCAAAAAGTGACAAATTTTCCCCTAAAATCCCGATTTCCCCCCCAAAATTCTAATTTAACCTACACAAATTGACATTTCCACCCCTTAAAGAGGAATTTCCACCCTAAAATTCCGATTTTCCCCCCAAAACTCCAATTTAACCCCCACAAATCCCCATTCCTGCCCCTTAAAGAGGCCTCTCCCCCCTAAACTCCAAATTTTCCCCCAAAATTCTGATTTTCCCCCCCAAAATTCCAATTTAACCTCCACAAAACGACATTTCCACCCCTTAAAGAGGCGTTTCCCCCCTAAACTCCAATTTTCCCCCAAAAAACTCCCCTTTTTCCCCCAAAAAATTCCAATTCAACCTCCACAAATCCCCATTCCCGCCCCTTAAAGAGCCGTTTCCCCCTAAACTCCAAATTTACCCCCCAAAATTTCCAATTTTCCCCCTAAAAAAACCCCGATTTCACCTCCACAAACCCCCTTAAAATCCAATTCCAACCCCAAAACCTCCGACACCCCCAAAAATCCCAACTCCAAATCCCAACGCCACCAAACCCCGTTTTCCTCTCATTTCTTCCCCCCCGATTTTTCCCCGTTTTTTCTGCTTTTTCCTCCGTGTTTTTCCCCCCTCCGAGGCCTCACGGAAGCCATAAGCGGGGGGGGGTTTTTGGGGTGTTTTTGGGGTGTTTTTGGGGTGTTTCAGGGCAGGGGGGGCCCGTTGACGCCGGGGTGGTAGAAGGCACAGTTGTTCTCGTACCTGCAGCTGCCCTTGAGCATGAAGTGGCGGCACACGGCGCGGTT